GAAAGAATAGATTGTTAAATGAATGTTACTGGGATATACGTCTAAGGAATAGAAAAAAATGGTACTTTATTACTATTTTTATCAAATCATACACCACAATAAATTGGAGTTCAATGGGGAGAAACAAGGACAAAATTTAAAAAATTTGCTCATTTTGTAGCCCTCAGTAGAGTCCCGTGGCATTATAGCAACCTCCAGCTCTTGGGCTCAAGTGATTCTCTTGCCTCAGCCTCCCAATTAGCTGGGACTACAGGAGTCTGCCAAAACGCCTATTTTTAGAGACAAGATCTCGCTCTGGCTCAGGCTGGTCTTGAGCCCATGAGCTCAGGCAATCCACCCACCTCAGCCTCCCAAATGCTAGGATTATAGGTGTGAGCCACCACACCCAGCCCTTATGAAACTTAGTTTCATAGGATACAATATTCTGGGTTGGCAATTATTCTTTTTAAGAAGACAAAAAAATAAAATTGGACCCCAATTGCTTCTGTTTTGTAATTTTCTGCTGAGAAATATTCCAATAGTCTGATGAGTTTTCTTTTTTAAGTTACTTGATTTCATCACCACAACTTGTAGGCCAATGACTTCATGTTGACTTTGGCCAGTCTGATGACTATATGCCTTGATATGACTTGGTGATGTATTTTGCAATCAATCTCCTAGGAGTTCATTCAGCTTCTTATACCTGAATGTCTAAGTATCTAGCAAGGTTAGGGAAATTCTTCTCCATTATTACATTACCTCAAATAGAGTTACTATGCTTTTTACTTTTGCTTTTTCTCCTGTAGGTATACTTAGGATGTTTTAGATATTCTCATATTTCTCCAAGATTTTATTCATTTCTTTTTATTATTTTCTTATATTTTATTAAAATTATTTGTTCTGTGAAGTTTGGACTTGGTCAAAGGCTGCACTTAGAGATCCAGAAGGCCAACACATGGCCTTGGGGCTGCATGTTCCCATCCCAATTCCCTATATGATTCTTTTGTTTCAAGAAGTTCTGGTATTTTTAAAAATTATCTTTCTCTTTAGTAATTTATATTCATGTCCTAAATTATTATTTTTTTTTGGTAACTTTGTGTTAGTTTTCAACTTTCTCATTAATCCTATTGAACTTGCTTATAATCCTGTATCTAACATTTCAAATTTCCTTTTGGTTGGAGTGCATTGCTAGAGAGCGGCATAATCCTCTCAGGGATCTTCAAACAGCCTGTTTCTTCATACTGTCAGAGTTCCCATGCTGTTCCTTCTCATTTAGAACTGCTTCCTTCAACTCACAAAGACAGCTTTGCAGTTCACCTGTTCTCCTCTTCTGGGAACTCTGTTGCTCAGTATAAAGGACAGGCATACTGCCTTCTGGTTTGTGTAGGAAGTATCCAGTGTAGTGTAGCCAGAAACTTGGGTGAGTTGGATCTCAGACCCTGGGAGAGAATCCATTGGTGGTCAACTAGGTTAGGTAATCCTCAGTGCCCAGGTTACTGGGTGGGGTGCTTGAGTCCTGGGGCGGTGGAGGGCCCAGATTGAGAATTTCCCCTCAGACTTCCCTGAGTTCAGGTGCTGATTATGATAGGGAGTAGTAGGGTGATCTACTTGTCTGTAAGAAGATCAGTAGGAAAAGGTAGGATAAGATGGGACGCCCTGTGAGCCTGCTGTAGGATAGGCAGGTTCTTCTTGATGAGATTAGCAGAGGCAGGCAACTGTGATATGCACAAACCCTCATACTTTTATCCTCAGTTAAGGTGGTACTTTTTATCCTTAGGGTATCTGAAAGTGCTCAGATTCCCAGCTCCTTTCCTGACCTGGCCATAGGAGAGGTGGTGGAGAAAGCTCAAATGTTTATATGCTGGGCTTTCAGAATGGCTGGGCATTGCTGAAATGCTCCAGCAGGGAAGGTGCAGTTTGCCCTGGACTCACCTCCAGGGTGGTGGAAGAGATAGATAGCTCAAGAAGGGGAGCACTTGTTGTAGCTTTTGAAAGGGAAAGGAGTTACTCCCCACTCCATGAAAGCCTGGATGTGACAGGTGCTCTGTCGGGGGGTGAGGGGATAGCTTCTTTCTACCATCTTGGCTTCACTGTCCTCTGTAAAACCCTCATCAGCCCGATGCAGAAACCTTTCTGTAGGCAGCCAGAACATTTAAAATCAAATACTTCATTTAATTGTAGTTGCTATGTTGGCCAGTGATTTTTCAACCAGTATGCCAGTTGAAAGATCATTAATTAAATTATTTTTGAAAGAAGTTCAAAACAGAGTAAGTATATTCTTTTACTCTTTTTTCTTTTTTAAAAAACTTCTCCTTTATTTTTTACACTTTTTTTTGAAGAACATAATTTAAATGTGTTGTGGAAGTTTAACTGTAGGTTCAAGTGTGCTATGAGATAAATAAGGTCAAAAAACACTGATGAGTGACCATATGGCTTACATATTTGTCCATTCACCCTCACCTGGTTCATTTCAATGATTAATTCCCTTATCCTGCTATTTCATTAAATGTATTTTATATATTATCTCAAATCTTTTTCAGGATGTAAATTTTAATTAATTATGGACAGGGTCTTGCTCTGTCACCCAGGCTGGAGGAGCAGTGTCTCATAACAGCTCACTATAGCCTCAAACTCTTGGCCTCAAGCCATCCTCCTGCCTCAGCCTTCCAAGTAGGTAGGATTACTGGTGTACTCCACCATACCCAGCTAATTTATTTTTTTTAGATATGGAGTCTCTCTATGTTCCTCAGGCTGGACTCAAATTCTTGGCCTCAAGCAATTGCCCTGCCTTAGCCTCCCAATATGGTGGAATTACAGGCATGAGCCACTGTGCCCATGCAAGTGTATAAATAATTAAGTAGAATAATCCCATTTTTATTATCAGTCTCTAAATGACAGTACACAATGAAATATAATCTACACTGGAAAAGACTAAGTATTCCTAGTATGATTTATTTTAGAATCATTGATTTTTGAAATAAAGGAAACTATGAAATTGTTATTTTGACAAATGAACCAAGATAGACTTGAGTCATATTATTTTATGATGTGAAGGAAATAAATTTTATAATCCCCACCAGTGTTAAACAAGATCATGGAGGGCAGGGACAGTATCTGTGTAAGCACCATGAATACCACCTAGATGTTTCCTACCAAAACAAACTTCTAGTAAGTGTTTGCTTGCACAGCTGGCCAGAGACTACATTGAGAAAGAGGAATCATTGGTGCTTCTCTTTTTGGTCACCCCAACGAGGGATCTAGTAGTAACAAAGAACCCTTTTCTCCTACATCAGTGTTCCAGCCATAGGTGGAACAAAGGAATGTCTGATAACCTTCTGCCTTCTCATGGAGTATTTCCTTTCCTTTCCCCACCCTTTACTTGCTATTCCTCATAAAAGATGGAGTAACTGAAGTACTGGGCAGGCAGGACTGAGGACAGCCTTGTGTCCTGACCACATTTCTCTACTGAGTAGAATCACAGCTGCATTTGGCATGTCCTTTTGTCTCTACATCTGTGTAAGCTCAGTGCAGGGAATTTGTGCAGCAGTTTACATGCAGTAGGCAGAGCAGGGAGGCATATTTTTACTTTCCTTCATAATTTGATTTCTGAGTCTGTAAGGCACATTTGTAAGTCTTCATGCAGATGGTGAGGTTAGAGCACTCCACGCTTTCTTTAATATTCTGATTCTTGTCTGCCAATGGTTTTTCAGGGGAGGAAAATGTGTTGTGTACCCTCTTCAGTTTTACTGCTAATGAAGTACACAATTTGATCCTCATTCGGCTTCTCTATGGCTAAGATGAGAATGTGAAGGTAAATAATTCCCCTCTAACATTTAGCACACCACAGTGCTGCATTTTGTCATTGTACATTTTATCCTTAGTTTTCTATGTGCTATATTCATTAGTTTTTATCTCTCCCTTAATATTTTAAATATTCAGTCTATATTTGACAATTTGGCCAACAAATCTTTGCTTCAATTTTACTTTTTTTCTGGCTCAAGAAGGAAGACCTGAAGAGCATTAAGAAGTTTCAGATTTGGAGTTTAGGGGAAAGACATAATAACTGTCCTCAGATATTTACAGATCTATTCTCTGTGACTGCAGAGGAAATAACAAAGGCCAAAGAATGAGTAGTATTGGAAGGCAGAAATGAGGAACAAATAAGTAACACCTCAGATGGGACTCTCTTGACACTGGTAATGTTCAAGTAAAGATGGAATAACAACTAGTTATGATGCTTTAGAAAGGATCTGAATATAGAGCAAGGGATTAGAGATGAGGCTCCATTCTTATCTATGATTCTATGATTTTAACATAGTTTTGAGGTGGATATCCACTGTTTAAGAGCCCATTGATCCACGAATGGATCAATAAATTGTGGTATATGCACACCATGGAATACTATGCAGCCATTAAGAAAGATGGAGACTTTACCTCCTTCATGATTACATGGATGGAGCTGGAAAATATTCTTCTTAGCAAAGTATCCCAAGAATGGAAGAAAAATTATCCAATGTACTCAGCCCTACTATGAAACTAATTTATAGCTTTCATAGGAAAGCTATAACCCAATTTTAGCCCAGGAATATGGGGAGGGGAGGGTAGAGGGTGGGTGGAGGGAGGGTGATTGGTGGGATCATGCCTATGGTTTATCCTATAAGGGTACATATGAATCTCTCTAAATGTAGAATATAAATGTCTTAACACAATAACTGAGAAAAAGACATAAAGGCTATGTTAACCAGTTGGATGAAAGTATTTCAAATTGTATACAGAAACAGTACACTGTACCCCATGATAGTATTGATGTACACTGCTATGATTTAATAAAAAAAAAAAAGAAAAGAAATAAAATCTAAGACAGAAAAAAAAAAGAGTGGAATTTGAAAGTGGAATCTAACAAATTCTGCTGTATATGAATTTAATTTTTACATAGTTTGTAAATTATAAGGACCTTAGAACTAGAACAAAGAAGCAGTCAGAATAATCAGACAGTCATGTTAGTGAGAGAGAACAGTTACCTGTCTGGAAAAAGACTCTAGAGATAATTGTCCGACACAGTGGGCAAGGAGTGCTTGCAGGATTGTCTTTGGCCAGAGTTCGTAAGCAGGGCTCACAGAAGATGTGGTGGCAAGGGTAGCACATGTAAGGGTTGAAGTAAACATCCAAACACACCGCACAGATGTAGCTGTCCTTTTCTTCTGCATATTCATTGTCGTCGTCTGTGCTCATATCATTATTCAAAGTCTGCAAAACACAAAAACAACTTTTATTAGTTCAGTACCAGATTGGTTTCCTTGAGATTGACTTTATATTTTGTTAAAATGAAAAATATTTATGAGAAGCATATATCTTTTTCTGTGACATATTCAAAGCGATAGAAATGCTACCTTTCAAAGTGAAAAGAAACTGAAAATATACATGAAAAACCCAAAGTCTAATTATTCTTTTTAGTACTTTTACATATTGCTAAATGCTGCAGTACACCAAAGTACATTAAGTATACTTCTGTCTCTCCTTTACTAGCCCTAGTTAAGTGAGTGTTAGATGTACCAGGAATGTTGATTCTCCTATCCCACCTTTACTACAGCAAATATGCTGATTGTCACAAAGTTCTAGACCTTAACATGGGCATCCACACAGGATGGAAAGTAAAAGCAAGAGGCTGCCATACTTCATCTTCACCCTGTGCATGAAACATTGTCTCTGCTGTACTTTGCAGCTTCCAGGACCTCAAAGCTAAGGCAGATCCAAAGCCTAGAGTTGTTAGGATGTAGACATCGCAAAGAAACTTGGAGTAACTATGGGATGAGCCATGCAGCTGGGAAACAGGATGAGCTTCTCCACCCTCCCAAATGTAAGAGTTAGGAAGACGGTGCATCAGGTCCTCTGATAAAATTGTTCTGTTTAATGTCATTTAATTATAATGTTGAAGAAAAAGATCACTTCCTCGTGTGTGACATTTGCTTGTCCTATGTCTACAGGGTTTTCTTTGGGTCTTCTGGTTGCCTCCCTCATCCCAAAGATATACCTGTTAGATAAATTGGCATGTCTCCACGATCCCAGTCCCAGTGGGCATGAGTGAGAGCACACCCTGCGATAGGATGATGTCCTATCCACAGCTGGTTCTGCCTTGTGCCCTGACCTGTAGGGAGAGTCTCCAGCTAATCACCCCCTTGATCTGGAATAACTGGGTGGGTAATTGTCTTACTTGTTTTTATTCATCTTTTAAAAATGTATGTATAGCTCACATATATTTTAATGCTTAATAGTAGAAGAGTTATTTACAAGTTTGGTGATGTTTTTGTGACTAGAAATAAGCTGTAGGAACTTAACTCTTATTAATTAGCCTGTGGTAAAATTGGTTTAATTATATGTCATTTTGGTTAAAGTCACAGTTTCCAGGAACCTACTGGTGAGAACTTTGAGGACTTACTATTGTTAGGGAATAGGCAGCTCAGAGGTTAGCAGGACAAAGTCTGTGAGCAGCATTCCTATTACTCATCAACCTCACAATTTCATCATTTTTGAAGCAGTTGTAAGGATGGAATGAGGGAATCCACTTAAAGGGTTTAGTATAATACCTAGCACATAGTAGGTATTCAATAAATGTTAGCCACAGTGATACTCCTTTTCCCTCACTCAGGCCTTCTCCTCCTTCTCCGCGGATTCTGGAGTTTATGCTAAATCCTTTAACATTTTTTCCCAAACTGGGCCTGGCTTCAGTCCAGTAAGACGTAATGCAAGTCTACAGGGTGTACAGGGTGTATTTCTTTTCTCCTCACTTTGATGTTTATAAAAATGGAGATCAGTGATTAATATTTGAAGGAGTCTTGGGTTTGATAAATATTCATAAGTTATAAGAAATATAAAAGTTATGTAAATGAGACAACAGAAGTTTGAGAACACAGAAAAACTGTTTGCTATGGTTTGAATGTTTGTGTTCCCTCCAAAATTCATGTTAACATTTAAACCTCAACCAAACAGTATTAAGAGATCAGATACTTAGGAGGTGATTAAGTCATGAGGGCAGAGTGTTATAGTCACATAAGCAACCTTACGTAAGGGCTGAAAGGAACAGCCTGGATATTTTTTGCTCTTTCACCATGTAAGGACTCATCTTTGAAGCAGAGATGGGGCCCTCACCACACCCCAAACCTCCTGGGACCTTAACTTGGACTTTCCGGTCCAGAACTGTGGGAAATAAATTTCTGTTCCTCTAAATTACCTAGTCTCTGGTATTTCTGTTACCAGAGCACAAACAGAGTATAGGACAGCTTTCTACTCCTACTGAATAAACTATTATTTGACTTTTCCAGATGGCTTTGCTCCCCCTCTTCTATCGTCTTTCTGCCACCTGCTGGGAATCTCTCTTTTGTGGAGGACATATTTGAGTCTTTAGCCTATTTATTTTTAATTGAGTTGTGTGATTTTTTTTCTTACAGATATGTAAGCATTTTTTCGTGATCTACTTCCTATTGGCTAAATGTGTTGTGAATATTTTTTTCTCTTCTCTTTTTCTCTTCACTTTTTTATGGTGTGCTTTGATAAAATAAAGAAGTTTTTTAATTTTAATGCAGTATATAGTATTTCCTTTATGGTTACAATTTTTATGTGTTATTTAAAAATTCTTACCCTGTCCTAAGGTCATTAAGATAGCATTATTCTGCATTTCATAATATGTTGTGATCCTAGAACACCCCTGCAATTAACTTTCATGTATGATATACCATATGGGTAAACTTCATTTTTCTTTTCTACAGTTATTATTAATAATTGGCCTAGTTTATTTATTACAAAGCTTTTCCTTTCCTGTATTGCTTTAAAGTACCAGTTTGTCATTCATAAGAGGCCATATTTGCATGGGCCTACTTTGGGGATTTGTATTCTGTTCCATTAGTTTATCATCTATTCATATGATATAATCACACAGTCTCTTATAGCTTTTTTTTTTTTTTTAGTCTGTTGTAGCTTTATGATAAGTCTCAATATCAGGAATTCCCTTCATCTTATTGTTATTCTTCAGCAGTGTCTTGGCTATTTTTGGCCTTTCTATGACTATATATTTAGAATGACCTTGGTATGATCTTTTTAAAAAAGTTAAAATTTTTATTGGAACTTCACTGAGCCTACAGATAAACTTAGGAAGAGTTAGAAGTCTTTACACTATAGTTTTAAAATACATAAACCTCATTTATTAATTTTTTAAAAATTATCTTGGCATAAGTCTACTTATATTTGAGCCAATATTTTCTCTCCACTTTCACTACTCTCCCTTTTCTCAATTAGAGCATTCATAGTATATGTGACACACCTGTTCTTATCCAAATCAAATAAGCAAGTAAAAATAATCTCACTAGTTCATGTTATATTCTTCTATTCCCTTTCATGGCAAAACTTCAGAAGAGACTTGACCATATTATATGCAGTTTCTGCTTTCTTGCCTCCTATCTACTATTTAATTCACTCTAACCTGGCTTCATACTCTGCTGAACTAACCTCTATATAAGCCAAATCCAGGACTCTTTCCTGACTGATCTTCCTCACTCTCTCAGCAGCATTTCTCATGTAGACCAGGACCTCTTCTTTCTCATCTGGTTAAGGGTTTCTTTTTACACTTGAAAAAGTCAGGCTCCTTATAATGATCTACAGGACTCTACATGATGCAGCCTACCTTGTTACTGATCTACTCTGTGTTCACTAGTCATCTTCTGGCTCAACAAACACAACAAATATTTTCTTGCCTTAGTATCTTGAGACATGATGTTTTCTCCTCTTAAAAAGCTCTTACTTGGTGTGCTGGATTACAAAATACATAAAATTCTCCCTATCTTTTAGTGTACATCCCCATGCATTTCATTAAGATGGAGAGATTCTTTTTTTGAGAGAGATTATTTTTTTCATCCTCTGAATTTTGGCTCTGCCACGTGACTTGCTTTGGCCAATGGGTCGTTAACAAACATGATACAGATTTTAAAAATGGGTATGCATTGGAAATGCTGTTCTTGGTTCTGAGTTCATTATCATGTAAATAAGGCTAGACTGGCCTGCTGGAGGATAAGTGACACATGGGCCAATTACCTCCATTGCAGCTGCTAACAAGCAGCCAACCCCCACATGTGTGAGCCAGTAATTGTTAGCTGACTACAAATACGCAAGTGAGCCCAGACGACATCATGTGGTACAGAGACATGGCATCACTGAAAGATTTTCTGTTTTTTAAGTAACTAAATTTTAGAGTGATTTATCACAAAATAAAACTTCACTGACACGTCCTTTCCTACACATGGCTAGCTATGAACTGTATCCTTAAAATTTTAGCTGAACTATCAACTTCCCATAGATAATTTCACTGGCTACTTTATCCATTCCCTGTGTAATTCTCTGTCACTTGTTTCCTTTATAGTTCTTATACTTTTTATTTTTATTTGCCCATTTTTCTTTCTCCCTCAATAGAATGCTAAGAAATAGAAAGGGAGGGTCTCACATATACTCCCGTGTGTGTGCATGTGTGTGCATCTTTGCTGAATGAATTAGTAGATGGGTTTTTAAGTTGATGTTACTACTCAGTGGATCTTGATTATGGGTGCTATCATCCTTAAAATGATCAAAGGGTCAGCTTGTACAATATTTTATGATTTTCATCCGCTAGTGAGTACCTAAGCTAAGTGTTTTTAAGTATTCTTGTGTAACTTTTGGATATTTCTAGATGGATAATCATTCTTTGAAATCTCTTATAACATACAAAGTTTAACACAGGATAAGAAATAAATTTCCCTCACGAACAGAAAAATTGTAGCCATGAGTTGAACAATGATGAAAAGCTAACACGATCAGTAATTTGTACTCATTATTGACCCATGACTGTTTCCTCCTGAATTTAAAAGACATTTGAAAAATGATAGTTCAAAGTGGGGATTACTAGTACTAAATTGGGTACCCCAGATAAAAATCTCTTTGGACCTACATGCTTACTTACCTAAATTTTATTTCATAGTGTGAGCTTATTCTGTTTCTATTAGACCCTCAGGATTGTGCCTTGAGATTTGAACTAACTAACCTCAAAGAAACCTATGCCATTTAAAAAAACAAAATTTGAGGAACTTCTTGTTGCATTACCAAATTGTGGCCCAAATATATGTGCATATTTTATTTCCATGAAGTATTTTATACTTACACATATAACAAAGATGACTACACGTCCCTAAAAATTGAAATTTTTGTCATTTCCTAAAAGTATTTTCAAA